CAATCCCTTCTCCTCCATTCCCCTCTCGGGATCTTGGGCACGCACGCACACGCGTCCGGCATGAATTCTAAGCCACCAGGTCCGGGATGCGAACCACGGTCAACTACATGGGAATCCAGCGACATAGCCATTACGCTAACTGCTGGTTTCCAACACAGATGTCTTAAGAATGCTTTCTTCTCAAGTGACATAGATGATACTGAATAATATTTCTTATGCTTTGTTGGAGAAACAGTCGTACTGCCGTTACTGAGAAAACTACATTTGGCATTTAAGGTCATCTACATAATTTGTAGGAGAGGAACAACTGAGACTACATTTTTGCAATTTTTTTGTTTGTATATTAGGATTCTACCTTCTCTTCTTGATAATGTGGACTTTTTGCAAGCTAATGTATTTTATCATTGGTCATTTTATTCTTTAGAATTCTGTTTCTCTTTGGGGTCATGTCTATAAGGCCTACTTCAGTCATTTGCAAAATCTGTTCTAGAAGTTTTTACCATACTGTTTTCCTAGGCAAATATTTTGTGGTTTATAAAACGTGTTTAAAAATAGATCACAGACAGTTTCTCCTCTGAAACAGAGTGTAAGGAAGAGATGAAAGAAGAATTTTTAGATAATTAAGAACTGACAACGTGGCAGGCATCAAAGCATCCTAGGATCAGTTTTACTGATGGGTAGAATAATCCTTCAATGTAATGCATTTATTTCTAATTAAGTTTAGTGAAAGTTTTCCAACAGAGGAATAAGTGGCACTAACTTAAAATGAGAAGTTATAGACCTTGTTATGTGAACAGTAGTAGTTCAATAGTTCCAATTTTCTAGTTTCCTTTCTATGTTAATGAATATCATAACCCCTTCAGATTACTACTTGAAAATATTTAGAAAGAAACTACTTCATAATAGACATTTTAAAAAAGGTCCAATATGACTTACAAGGTCACTGGACAAAATAGAATAGTTAAACTAAATCAATTCATTTGGATAAGAGCCAAGAAGAAAGGAAACATAAGCAAATAAAAATTTTCTTTTTAAAATGGTATATTAATAGTTATCTTGGGGACCAGCAGTTGGCATAATAGCTATGTCGCTGAACTCCCACGAAGTCGACCGCAGTTCAAGTTCTGGACCCAGTGGTTTAAACTCACGCCAGACGCGTGTGTGTGTGCCCAAGATCCTGAGAGGAGAATGGAAGAGAAGGGATTGCAGCGTGGCCATCCCCCCTGGGGGGTGATTTCTCGCTTTCTGTCTCTCTGTCTCTCTCTGTCTTTCTGGCGAGCACACGTGCCCTGTAGCAAAAACCTCCCCCTCCAAAAAAATAGTTATCTTGTGCTAGTGTTGTAGAGTCTGTCTAAGAAAGTAAGAATCTATTTTGTCAAATTCAGCATTTTTCTGAGCACTGAGAAGGAACGTACTACGTGAGTACTATAACATTTGTCAGTGGATTGCTCAAAGTGCTCATGCCTTTTTTTTTTGCATATTGTTATCTCTGTGAGTTTCAATTGAGAAAATTTAATGTACGTAGTGGTTTAATGGGAAACAGAGGTGTTTAAAAATGCCGAAATGGGTGTATTCAAACATGACTTGGTTTAAAATGAATCTGCAGCTGTTTTCAAAAGAGGATTCTTATTCTATTAAAATGCAAATAAATAAAAAAGCTAAAAAAAGAAAATTTAATATTGTATAATAATGAGTATTTGAGTAGTTGCTAAAGTTCAAGGACTGGGCAGGGAGAGAGGAGAATATGGTTATAAGAAAGCAGAGTTAATGGCCCTTGTGTTGCTGGAACCATTCTGTAAGTTGACTCCTAAAGAGTGTTAATGTCCTGGGAGTGATATTGTGTCATAGATTTGCAAGATGTTATCATTGTGCAAACTGAGTGAAGGGCACGTGGATCTCCCTGTATTATTTTCTACCAATGCATTAATCTACAATTTTCGAAAAACAAAAAGTCGAATTAGAAACTATAAATAAAGGCTAATGGTGGTGTGTGGTTATGGTGACTGGATTCCACATGGCTGACTGTGTGGTTCAAATTCCTGACCCAGTGGCTTGAAAAACACACTGGGCATGTATGTGTACATACTTACTGTGTGGGATGATTTTTTATCCACCAATTTTCCTCATCATTAACAAAAATCAACTCAAAATGGATCAAAGATTTAAGTGTAAGACATTAAACTATAACCTACTGGTAGAAAACAAAGGGGAAACTATTAAAGACATTGGAGTAGGAAAAGATTTATTAAATAACACCTGAACATAGGCAGCAATACCCAAAATAAGTAACTGGAATTTCATCAAGCTAAATAGCTTTTGGAACAGCAGGTGGTGTAGAGGTTAAGGTAGTTAGATCCCATGTAGCCAATAGCATAATTCAAGTTCTGAACTCAGTGACTTGAAAAACAAGCTGGTCACATGTGTGTGCATTTCCAAGATCCTAAGAGGAAAATGAAAGAGAAATGATTGTGGTGTGATCATCCATTGGCGGATGCTTTCTCATTTTTCCTCTCTCTCCATCTCTCTCTTTCTCTGTCTCTCTCCTGTGAGTACACACACACTAAAGCAAATGAAAGTAAATAAATAAATAAATAAATAAAAACCATCTGCACAGTAAAGAAAACAATGATTAGAGAGCAGATATAATCTTCTGACTGGAAGAAAATATTTGTGAACTATGCTTCAGATAAGGAATAATCACCAGAATATGTAGGGAATGCAAGCAGTTCAACCATACCCTCACACAAAACCCTGAATAATTGAGTTAACATTGGCAAATGAGATGAATAGAAAACTTTTAAAGAAAGACATAGGAACGCCCAAAATACATATAAAAAACGTATAATGCCTCATATCCTAAGGGAAATGCAAATCAAAACCACTATGATATACCTCTTAACCCCAGTCAGTATGGCTATGATCAAAAAACAAGGAGTAACAAATGCTGGTAAGGTTGTGGTGAAAAAGAATGGTTTTACGCTGCTGATGAAAATGTAAATTAGTACAGCTGTTGTCGAAACAATATGGAGCTTCCTCAAAAGCTACGAATAGAACGGCCATATGACCCAGTATTCCTGTTCCTTGGTATTTACTCAAAGGATAAGGAAATAGTCATAAAAACCATGTTTATTGCAGTATTATTGCTAAGACATGGAATCAACCTAAATGCTCAAGAACTGATGGCTAGGGACCAGCAGTTAGCGTAATGGCTATGTCGCTGGACTCCCATGTAGTCGACCGCGGTTCACGTCCTGTACCCAGTGGCTTAAATTCATGCCGGGCGCATGTGTATGCATGCCCAAGATCCCAAGAGGAGAATGGAGGAGAAGGGATTGTGGCGTGGCTATCCCCCCTAGCGTGTGATTTCTCGCTTTCTTTCTCTGTCTCTCTCTGTCTGTCCTCTCTGTCTGTTTGGCGAGCACACATGCTCTATAGCAAAATAAACCCCCAAAAAACAAAAAACAAAACAAAAACAAAACAAGCAAATAAAACCTCTTCAAAAAAGAAAAAAAAGAACTGATGGCTAGATTCAGTTCACATGTGCACTATGGAATCCTATGTAGGTATGAGGAACAATGAGACTCACTCATGTGAAGCGATTAAATGCTAAGTAAAGCAAGTCAGACTATGAAAGACAAACACTGCATATCCCCATTCAATGCATACCAAACGTCTCCACTCTATGAGGACAATGAAAGATCCAAAAATGTTTGTTTTTTTTTGTTTTTTGAGAGATTTTTGCTATAGGGCACATGTGCTTGCCAGAAAGACAAGAGAGACAGAGAGACAGAAAGCGAGAAATCATCCCCCAGGGGAGATGGCCATGCCATAATCTCTTCTCCTCCATTCTCCTCTTGGAATCTTGAGCTTCCACGCACACATGCCTGGTGTGAGCTTAAGC